GAACTGGTGCACTAGGGTTTGATCTTGACTCGAGCTTAAGGGCATCGAGAGCATCACAGGGTCTGCAACCATGATCTTCTTGACCACCTTTCTGGCAATTTGCCTTGCAAACATCTCTTGGTGCTTGTCCGGCGGCTGGGCTTGCTTAAAAGAAATTGTTGGCAGTGCCTCAAGCCTTTTGGCCTAGATGGTTGCAAGAGACTGTTTCGACACTGCTCTAATTGAGGTGGTGCCATCCCCCTTCACTGGGCGGCAAAGACAGGCGCTCTGCATGCCTTCCGATGAGGTGTCTTCCGGACTTCGGGTTGTGCGTGCCCTAAGATGGCTGAAGTTCTTTCGGTCTTCTCATGCGAAAACATTCCGGGGTCCTTCAGAGCGATCGGTCTATGAATCGTTTGGCCACTTCCGTAGGGCAGTATCGTGAACAGGGTGGAATTGCTGACTGATTCGTGTTAAAAAAGGAGCAGGCCAAGGAAGCCCAAACGATGAATCAGAGTCTTTGCTTGGATAGTGCACACTATCAACGCAAATGTGTATAGGTTCCTCCTTAGACACTCCCTCCAAAAAAGGAATCCTTTGTTGATCTTGCATTCGCTTCTGCTTCTCATGCCCGAAGCCATCCAAACACCACTGAGCCCTAAGCCACAACCCCGACCCAAAACTCCACACCTTCACTCTGCCGCAAACTCGAAGTTTGCCCTCCTCGATCAGGGCAAGCTCAGCTCATCCAGTTGCTGGTGGAAGCACGCAGGGGCTCCCAAGAATAATGAATATACATCTGTATATCGAGTACATACGCCATACGCATATGTGTGTGTGTGTGCTTGTGTATGCATGCATGTAGGTCTATACACACGTGCGTGCATGCACGTATCATATGCCGGTTAATCTACATATGTTACAGGATGAAGGTGTTGTGTGTTTAAAGCTTTGGCTTGGAAGGATGCCACATGCGCAGTAGATGGAGTGTCTGGGGTAGGCGCGGGAATACTGAACCCTTGAACTTGCAGTACCCAACCCTCGTCCCTTAATGCATTGGGCCATGGGATCTACAGCATGAGAGGAGTCGTTTTGGGGCAGGTCATAGCAGGTCTAATGGGTGCTTTCGTTGGGTTTATGTGTTCCTGCCATACTTGGTTTTAAAAGCCGTAGTACGCCACCCTGTGCTGCGGCATTACATATTTCTGGGTTTTACGTTTCAGGGTTTGGGGGTTTGAGGCGTGGTGACTTGCACTGAAGCCCAAGCACTTAGTACCCTGGCGATTCAGGCTCTGATCTCACTGTGTCCGACAACCTGGGAAGGACTGGCCTTCCTTCAAATCATTCCTTCTGGGGCTCAGGGTATTTGGAGTTGTTACGGTTGATGGTTTTTTAAGCTCAGGTTTCAGCGTTTGGCGTGTAGAGGAAGACGTTGAAGAGAAGGCCCTCTGCGTATAAATCTGGGTTGATGTGAGCACTAGAATTTCGCAGGGAGAATTTGGTTGTAAGGTAGCTCTTCATGCACGATTGCAGAGTCCACACTGAAAGCTCACGTTAGTAGTAGTCACGCGGTATCGTGGTATCAGTGCATGTTATTGTCGCTTGCATGAAGCTGTTGCCTTGCAGTAGACGTGACTGTTACGACTGTTCAACAAAAGAACAAGTATTTTTCAAGACGCCCCTGCAGCTTTGACGCAAGTTTTTTCAAAATCCACCCTAAGCTCCCCAGACTTCTAAACCCTAAACCCCTAAACCCAACCCTCAAACCCCTAAAACCTAAGCCCTAACCCTTAAACCCTAAACCCTTAAACCCTTAAACCCCTAAGCCCTTAAGCCCTTAAGCCCTTAAGCCCTAAACACTAACCCTTCAGCCTAAACCTTTAAGCCCTTAAACTCCTAAATCCTAAACCCTTAAACCCCTTAACCTTAAAACCGTAAACCCTTAAACCCCTTAGCCCTAAACCCCTAAACCCCTCAACCCCTCAACCCCTAAACCCCTAAACCCCTCAACCCCTCAACCCCTCAGCCCTAAACCCCTAACCCCCTCAACCCCTAAGCCCTAAACCCCTAAACCCCTCAACCCCTAAGCCCTAAACCCCTAAACCCCTCAACCCCTCAACCCCTAAGCCCCAAAAACCCCTCAACCCCTCAGCCCTAAGCCCCCAAAAACCCCTCAACCCCTCAGCCCTAAACCCCTAAACTCCTCAACCCCTCAGCCCTAAACCCCACAAACCCCTCAACCCCTAAGCCCTAAACTCCTAAACCCTAAACTCTACACCTCTAAGCCCTAAGCCTCAAACCGCTCAAACCCCTAAACCCTAAGCCTTAACCCTTAAACCCTGAAGCCCCGAAACCCTACACCCTTAAACCCTTAAACCCTTAAGCCCTTAAGCCCTTAAGCCCTAAACACTAACCCTTCAGCCTAAACCCCTCAACCCCTCAACCCCTAAGCCCCTAAACCCCTAAACCCCTCAGCACTGAACCCCGATCCTCCCAGGACGCCTGTCGAGATGGCAGAGGACAACCTGAAGGCAGCCTCTTTGGTGTTGGTTTCGTCTCTTCGCGCTCCTGAGGGTTTAGGGTTTAGGGTTTAGGGATTAGGGGTTAGGGGTTCGGGTTTAGGGTTCAGGGGTTTAGAGGGTTTAGGGTTGAGGGTTTCGGGTTTAGGGTTTAGGGTGGAGGGTCTCTTAGGGCTCATGAGGGGGAATAGAAGGGCCTAAATAATTACCCATACTGCATCTTTAGGGGGGGGGCTCCTTATTATGATTATAATCAGTATAGTATTATACCCCTAACCCCATAAGTCTAATCATGAAGGCCCTAGCTGGCTGGACGACATGGCCAGTTGGTGGGACATAGACCACCGGGTCGCCAAGCGTGCTCTCACCCTTACCTGCCTGCTTTGTTTAGGGATCCCTGCAACATCTTTCATTGAGGTTTGTCCCCTGAACCCTAAATCCCAGACCCTCGTGTTTGCCATGCCTCGTAGTCCCTATTCCTTGTGGATCTACCCCGAAACCCTGTTGTAACTCACTTATCTCGCTCTGCCCCGGCGGTCAGGGCGATGCAGCAGCAGCCATTCGCCGAGCGGCTGCGCTGCAGGTGATGTAGAAAATCATGTTCGCCGGCGTGTGAGGAGTGGAGCATAGAACAGGTATTGTGGAAGTGCAGACTTTGCAAATTGACGTCGGATTATTCGTGTTTTCACCGCGTGGGCTTCAGATCTATTCATTTTCCCTGATGCTGGGCCGTCAGTTTTCGCTTGCATGCTTTGTTTCAGGCGTGCGCAACACCGAAAAAGACGCAGTGGGGGCGCGGACTAGTCCTGCAAAGATAAGAACCAGAATCCGATGCCAGCAGCCTTCCAAGCAAAAGCTTTCGAGTTTCTGAACATACTCTGTCTTCCGTCTCATATGTTTTGCATGGGAGTCGTAACTTCAATCTAGTGACATATGTGGCTATAATCGCATCCAGCACCAAGCTAGGTATCTTTATGTAGTGTGCGGAGTCTTACTTATACTTTTCACAAAGTTGTTTGATGGGGTACATCTGTGAGAAATAAACATCTGTTTGCATTTCAATCGTGATGCTGATCTAGCTCTGATCCTGCGTATGCTGTACCCTTTCGTATTCGGTTTCCTTTATCCGAACTTCGTTACTGCAGTTTTCCTACAGAAATCATGGGAGCAAACTTCCTTACCCGATAGTGCAAACAACTAAGCTTTGTCTATACAGGCACTGTGTTTGTGGTTTTTGAAACTATTGAAGCCTCTCTCTGTGTCTCGTCTCGTCTCGTCCCTCTCTCTCTCTCTCTCTCTCTGTTCCATTCCCGTGATTGGGCAATCTCGGCAGGTTATCTAGAGAAGACGACAAGAAGCCGAACGTGTCCTTGAATCCGTTGTTCTGCGCGATGACGCCGACTTTCTCTCCGATCTTATATTGTGCATGTGTGCACGATAACTTTCTGGTTTTGAATTTTATGTTTTGGTGTAGGTCTGGTTAAGAAGTTACTTGTTTACGGGCTTAAGGATTTACGGTTGTGTCCATCTTGCCAAGGAGTTCCGAATGGTGGCCTTCGTGTTCCTGTGTTTCCTAGGGCGTTCAAGGGATTTCTGAGTTTCGTTCTTGTTGAGTCCAGTCTTTTTTGTTACCGGTTTCCTACAAATCGTAGACATGCGACACTGCCAAAACTGAAGCCTGGAGCCCAGGGCAGGGCAGATCCAGACTCTTTGCCCAGACTTAGAGTTTCGGAGGCATTGCGAAGGCAGTTAGAGTTTAGGGTTTATTTGTGTAGGGTTTAAGGTTTAGGAGCTCCGTGTGAATCCAAAGGCTCAAAGATTTGTCGTGAGGGTTGCACAGCCCGTCGCTTTGTTTTCCTTGCCGCGACTCCTTTGCTGCTTGCCTCAACAGCAGTGGTAGACGGGAGAGTTTAGGCTCAGAAGGGATAGCCCTAGACTCTAAACGGGGGAATGAGACTCGGTTGATGATATAAATCCTGCACTACGCATAATAAGGAACATACCCCGTAACTCGCATACTTTAGGGTTTTTAAGGTACTGCAGGATTGATATCATCAACAGTAGGAAAAGAGAGTGAGCCTCGGATGCGGAGTTTCTGGAGTCCTGGGGTTTGACCACGGCTCACAGCCGTAGCAGGTGCTGAATCTTTCTCTGTTTCTAGGGTGTGCAGCATGTTATAACAATCATGATAATGGTCATAATACTGTTCTTTGTGTATTTTCAATATCAATACCAATGATAAAGAATACTAATATTATAAGTTAGGTATGATCCGCAAACTCTGAGATTTCAGGCCTAGAGCTGCGCCGGAGGTCATCCCCAGCCCAAGTTGTCCAGATCCCACGGAGCCGGGCTTCTAAAAAAACTCAGACTTGAAGCCATGGAGCTTGGTTTAATGTGTAGTAGTTTAGGGTTTAGGGTTTAGGGTTCAGGGTGTTTGGCCCAAGCCTCCCGCAAGAACTCCCAGAACTCTCTAGGGCTTTGCCTGCGCAGGTCCTCGCCATGATCTGCGAGGCTTCCACGGCGTTCGGCTCCAACCTGTTCAGTGCCCTGGACCGCCAGAGTTCGGGTTTTTTCTGAGTTTGGGATGAATATAGGGGCCTTAATAATTAAAATCAGGGCTTGGGGGGTAGATTATGCTATTGTCCTAATAAAGAGCCCCCAAGACCTCATTCTATTTATTTAGGCCCCTACATTAAGTTATTTGGATTCTCGTGGGTTTAGGGTTTGGGGTTTAGGCCCGCCAAGGCCGGGAAGACCCCAACTCCCCCGGAGGCCCGAAGCCACGCTCCTTCATGGCCGGAAGTTGAAACTGGGAAGCGGCCTCCAGTTTCAGGTTTCCGGTCGCTGACCAAAGCAAGCCAGAGATCCAGTGAGAAGCTGCGACTTTCTGGGACTACCAGGGGCTGGAAGTTACCAAGGTTTCAGAATCTCTTAGCTGTTTTGCTTCTAAGCCTTGAAGCCGCCTTTAAAAGGATAGCCTCGCATCCTCGGTCCGCACTAAAACACCCTAAACCCTAACCCCTAAACCCTAAACCCAAAATCCCGACCCTTCCCGCTCAGCCATGTGGGTGGTCCTGACCATCCTCGGCCTCACGTCTTGCTTGGGGATGTCTGCGGTGGCCTTCAAGTTCCTCTACTGGACACCGCGGGGCCGAGATCGGGGAATCTTGTAGAGTCGTAGAGGCTTAGGATTTGATTTAGGTTTAGGATCCCTATTCTTGGTACCTTGCCTAGTTCACGGATTAAGGATCAGGATTTAGGGCCGGAGAGCTTGGAATTGATTAGGGCTCGAATAGATTTGCTGGGTTCTGGGTTTCGATTCGCTTTGTTTTAGGCTTTCAAAAGTCATGCGGACCTGGGAAATTATAGGCGCCGGAATAATTACCAATGTTATTCCCAAGGTTGCTATTGTTTAACTATACCAGAATATGCCCCCCCCTCCAAAGCCTGTTCTAGTTATTAAGGCCCTTGTACTATCTGCCTCGAAGCGCAGGAACCCAAGCTACGAGATCTGGCGGTACAAGTGCAACCCAAAGTACCCCAAGCCGGAGCACGTGCGAACAGAGGCAAACTTCGGTGCTCGATGATTGCATGGGGCTTCGGGTTTACTTGCAAGAGCTTGAGGACACCGTTGACAGCCCCTGCTGAGCACCAGAACTTGCAGAAGTCCGTCTAGGGAAGATTTGGGATTGGGGATTCAGGAGCCATGGAATTTTCAAAGCTCACGAATACTCTGGAAACGTATGGTATGCTTGACCTCAATTCCAAAAGCCCAGAACCGATGTAATTCCCAAGCTGTGTAGATGCAGACCTGCGGCATTGCGGGAGACTTTGGGCCTTACCACCTACCTCGCACTCCAACCAAAGACCATAAACCCTAAACCCTAAACCCTATGACCCAACGCAGATCCTCCTGACCATCAAGTGCATCTCCCTCTCGACGATGCTGCCCGCACTGTCGCTGTACTTGGCAGCCCAGGCTTCGGCGGTGTGGTGCCATGTAGCTATGGTCCCTGCGTTAGGGTTTAGGGTTTAGGGTTTAGGGGTCCTTACTGTAGACATTATCTCACCTAGTACCCTGGTTACTCCATGCTTTCTCTGCTACAGAATCCTGTCTTTCAGAGGTCTTCATCACTTTAAGGTTAGGTTCGTCTGCTTCCTGTCACGTAGGACTAAGATCCGGCTTTCCGTTGACTATGTACCTGTTTTGCAAAGTTGAGAGATCTCTGTTCATATGCGACTAGATACGAATTACAGTCCATATCTAAGTAGAATAATAGTTCTGATCTGTGTTCCTATGCTACTAGATACGAGTTAGAATTCACATCTAAGTAGAAGAACCCCCCCCCCCCCGAAAAAAAAAANNTGGGGTCCGAAGGCTCCTACCTTCAGTCTGTCTCATGTCATGTTATATTTCAATATTGTCGTATCCTCTAACTCTGACGTAGAAAAGTCAAACAGGCATTTGTAGCAATGCTGAACCCGAACCTTAATCCCCAAACCCCAGCTCTGGGATCCTGCACCACTCTGTGCAGGGCAAGAGCCAGGCCTTCTGTGGATGGGGCGACCGGCTTGCTCCCGAGATTGAGACTTTTGGGCTCGTGGTTTAGCTTTCGCGTACTGTCCATGGGTGATACCACTACACATCAGCCGCAAGGAAAAGCAACAAAAGAACGAGTGCGAGAAGAACATAGCAAGACCACGACCATCAGCAGCACCAGCCGCACTAGCGGCAGCGCCACGACCCACAACCAGGTTAGCAATGAGAACAACATTAAGTTGCAGCAGTATCAAAAGCGATATCCAGCACCTACAGCAAGCTGACAATAAGTTTCGAACCAGCGACATTGCAAGATGTAGCACCAACCACAATCGCAGAAGCGCAAAGATGCTGTCACAACAGCCAAGCAGCAACTATCACTACAACAGCAAACATCACAGACAANNNNGCAGCGGCAGCGGCAGCAGCAGCAGAAGCTGCGGCAGCAGCAGCGGCAGCAGCGGCAGGAGCAGCAGAAGCTGCAGCATGAGCCCGGACCACAATATTGACAGCCAGACGAATTGCAGCATCATGTCCACATTCCGTAAGCTATTGCAGCAATACCAACAGACCAACAGTAGCAAGAGTAAGACAACACACACACACACACGCACACATACGAAAAGCAATGTCGTCGTGGTAGTCTGCAGTCGTTGTTGTCCTCGCAAAAAGAGTACTACGGAACTTGTACTGTATGGCTACTACTGCCGCCGCCGCGGCTGCTGCTCTGCTGCTGCTACTAGTGACTAGTGCTGCTAGAAGAACTCGTCACCCCAACATCAATATCAATGTCACAGTTCTCAAGGCGCCGATCGATCACCACGTTCCAAACCTTCAGTGAAGCCAAAAGAACACGCCTTTCTCAAACCATGCACTCGTAGGACACTTGTTGGAACGTTCTATAATTTGGATCCTTGAGAAGGGGCTGGGGCAGAAGGTCCTTTTTGTGGCACCTCGGCTCGTTCATTGCCCTCGTCGTGGGCATTGACTTCTTCGAGTGGCCTGACCTTTCGGATTGGGCTGTGCTTTCTTTTATCAGGCAGAGGCTTGTCGCATGAACAGCATTGCGAGGAGCAGCGAGCAGTTTGTGTTCCCCAAAAGCTTTGAACCTGGTCACGGATCCTTGCTGAGGAGTCGATGGACTGCGGGGGGAGAGATCATGCAGGTTGTAGTTGCCTCGAGCATAGGCATCGAGGTCATTTTGCAAGCCCTTCCAGTCGGGCCATACATCGTCAAAGCCAACCGAGCACCGAGGTGGTTCTATCACCTGATGGGGCATGAGGCAGCGTGCGACGGACTATGTAGTGCCGTATCGAGTTCATACTAGCCATAGTTTTGCACGTTTTATGATAATTATGATTATGGCTAACGTTGTTTGTCAGTATTTCATTAGTATGTATGTTGTTTTAATAGTTTTGTTGCTATTGCTTTTGTTATTCTGAAATAGAATTTGGACCTGCGTCAAGTCTCGGGGTCCGGGTTTGGGGTGTAGGGTCAACATACAGGACAATCCGATCAGTTTTCGGTTGAGGGCCACTACCAAGTTATGTACGGGCTCGTGGCAAGATGCACTTCCTAGGTTTCTGCAGAGTCGTTTTGGCAATGTACGGACCTGTGCATGTGTGTGTGTGTTCGGACGGAAGCAGGTAGGTAGGTAGGTAGGCAGGCAGGCAGGCAGGTAGGTAGGTAGGTAGGTAGGTAAGGTAAGGTAAGTAGGTTGGTAGGTAAGTGGAGGTAGGTAGGCAGGTTGGTAGCTATGGTAGGTAGGTAGGTAGGTAGGTAGGTAGGTAGGTCGGTCGGTGGTCGGTGGGGTGGGTGGGTGTGGCTGGCTGGCTGGGTGTGGGGTGGGTGGGTGGGTGTGGGGTGGGTGGGTGGGTGGGTAGGTAGGTAGGTCAGTAGGTCAGTAGGGGTATACGTACGCATCCTGCATACCGTCGTTCATACATGCATCCATACATATATACTTTCGTACATGCCTGCATACATATACATACGTACGTACGTACGTACGTACATACATGCATACGTGCATACGTACATACACAAATACACACATACACACACACACACAAACATATGTTCGCAAACACACACACACACACACTTGCATGCATTCATTTACCATTCTGTGCTATGCTAGGCTATGCTATGCTATGCTCTACTACACTATACTATATCACACTGAACTATATACTATACTATGCTATACTCAGACTCTATACTATCCTGATCTTTTTTGCTATAGCATACCGTACTGTAAGACACTGTGCTATAGCATTCTGCGGACATGGAAAGGATGAGGGTGTGGCATGTCGGGTGGGCTAGGAGTCAGCAGCCATTTGTGGAGGCGCCTCTCTCTGTGTGTGTGTTGGCTACAGCTACTACGAAGTAACCGAGATGCTCTTGTCCTCCTTGTGGTTACTATTGTCCATTGGTGTTGTTGATGGTGATATCGAAGAAGAGGGTGATGATGTCGATGCCAATGATGATGCAGACGATCGACGACAAGGATGTGGATGATGGCGGTATTCCCGGTGATGACAGTGGTTGTGCTGATATGCGGATACTTTGTTGTTGGTGCATCTTAACGGTTTTTGATGATGACGCTGCTGCTGATCAAGATGAAGATGGCGACTGTGGTGGTGATGCTGGGGCTCATGACGAAAACCTCTGGGAGGGGGTGATGATTGAGGCGTTGATAATGATGATGACGATGATGATGATGACGACGACGATGATGATGATGATCATCGTGGTTGTGGTGGTTGCTGTAGTTATAGTGATGATGATTCTGATGGTTCTGATGAGGTTGATGACGGCAGTAGTTGTGCCGATACAGATGGCCGTGATGATGCTGATGCTGAGTGATGATGGCAGCGCTGCTAGATGCCCGCATTGGGAAGATTACGAGGGTCAAGGCAATGATACTTGGTGCGGATGATGGTATGGCTGGCAGTGACGATCTAGTGATTGTGACTGGAGGTGCTGGTGCTGGTGCCGGTGCCGGCGGCCTTGTTCTGGTGGCGGTGCTGGTGGTGTTGTTGGTGGTGGTGGTGTTGGTGGTGATGGTGGTTGCGTTGGTGGTGGTCGCGGCAGTGGCGGTGGTTGCGGCGGCGATTGCGGCGCGGCGGTGGTGGGTGGGGGTAGGGGTGGTGGTGGTGGTGGTGGTGGTGGTGGTGGCGGTGGTGGTGGCGGGGGCTGTGCCGGTGCCGGTGACGGTGCTGGTGGTGTTGGAGGTGTTGGTGGTTGTTCGTTGGTGGAGGCAAAACTGATGGTGGGAACGATGATGACCTTGATGCTGATGATGTTTGGGTCCCAAGCCCGCAGCTCGGCAGGTTCCTTCCATGTGGAAGCAGCACAAGAGCCACCACAGGCCACCGACGTCTTGTCATGTTAGCGGTCACTTCAGGGTAAAGCGAGGAATGACGATGCAGAATTCAATTTCGTTACACGTGATTCATGGGGCATCATGGGGCTTTGCGCTGTATATTTCAACGACGTTGACGTCACAGCAGACTTTTCGTAACGCCCCATCCACATCCTGATCACGGCTTCGGCAGCTAAAAACCGCCCAGCTGGTTCGCATGTCCTGGTTGGTCCTGTTGAAGTGAAGCCGTCTTTTAGAGCCCTCTTTCACATCCTGTCATCTCTCAGCGGCTCCTGTGGCGCTCTTGTTGGTCTACTCAGGCCTTCCATGCTGTCTTGCTGACTGTTCATGCTGCTCAAGCATGCAACATTTGTGCTCTGGGTCCTGAACTGATCGCTCGATGCAACTTTTCTGTCACCCTAAACCGGTAATCCCAAAATTCAATTGAAGCCGCCCTGGCAAAGGTTCTTCAATCCGACTCCGTTCTCGGCAGGGAACTCGGCTTATGAAGGATGGGACGCTAGCTGAAGTCATGCTTGTCAAGGGTCGTTGCTGAGATTCTAGGTGAAGGATAGCACGGCCCACTAAGAAAGCTACACATCCCCCAGTTTACTTGTGCATCCTGGAAGTGGCAGCCATGTCAACGAGCTTATCTCCACCCACTGCCCGACGCTCCATAAGGGTTCTGGAGTGAACATGCCACCCGGACTCGAGTGTGGCTTTGGTGAAGCCGTGTTTCCTTTGGATGGCTGGCCTTTGGGCTCCAGTCATCTCGGTCTTCCCACTGCAGAGTTGAGGAGACGAGGACGTGCACAGAGTCCTTAGTGCCGCGCATGTCCAGGTTATCGCCGATGAAGCAGTGGACCAGCTCATGCGCACTGCTCCGATGCTGCTGTCGGCCACTGAACCTGAACTTCTCAAAAAGGTTCACCGGTTTTACTAGAGTCTAGTATTCTACAGTCAGGGCAGAAATGAGGGCACTCCCTTTGATTGTTGCGAGTTTACGGTTAAGGTCCCGTGCCAAGATTTTGCGAAGCTGCCAAGCCTTGCGATCGATAACTATAGGGGCTCGAAAATTACCAATACTATTTTGCTGGCTCCTTATCATAATATATATATATATACAGGTACAATATACCGCACAACCCTATTCTAACTGCCCTAAACCCAAAACCCTAAACTCCAAAGCCCTATTCTAATTATTAAGGCCCCTGCATTACCCGAAATTATGGGCGCCGTTCCATGTAAAGCCAGGCCGTGGGCCCCTAGCCGAACATATTTAGGGTTTAGGGCTTTGGGTTTACGGTATACGGTTTAGGGTTTAGGGTTTACGGTTTAGGGTTCACGGTTTAGGGTTTAGGGTTTACGGTTTAGGGTTTAGGGTTTAGGGTATCCCTCAGTGATGAGTAGCCGCACGTGAACAAGAGAAGCCTGCTCTAGCTAGTATGTATCCGCGATAAAGAACACCTCGGTTCTCTTCTAATTACACTCTTGGAGATTTGGCAGCGCAAGGGGGTGAGCGGAATTTGGCCTTCCCTGCCTTTCCACATTCACCACGCCTGACCAGCCAAGATTTTCCTGCCCATCAACATGGACGTCCTCTTCGGCATCTTGCATGACGATCTGAAGATTTGTCAGCAAAAGTTGGAAAGGCATTTGGACACTAATCTGGTAGCTGCACGCAGCCGGTCATATCTCAACCCGTTCAAGTGAAGCAAATCTTCCTGAACGGACGACGGAAGCCACGCTGCTTTGTATCCGTCAGCAAGGCATGTTTGCCGTGATGTTCTACGCCTATGGGATCTACCTTCATGCTGGTCGCAGCCTGAGGAGACAGAGAATGTGTCACGCCCCGAAATCCTGAGCTCTAGACTGCGACCGCAAAACTTGAATCCTCCCCTCCATAACCCCGAAACTCTAAAGCCCTGAAGTCTAGAGTCTAACCCCTAAACTCTGAAACTCTGAAGTGATAATTAAGTCTAAACCTTCACCGGCATTCTCATTATTTCGGATTCGTACAGCTTCTTCTGGCTAAAGATCGACATTGCGGATAGGGTTACGGAGTGGAAGGTCAGCTGGCTGCTTAAATTTGATTGGTCACACTCCCAACGCCGAGCCCTAGCCTGTCGCCGCTGCCGGAATGAAAGCAGAGCTTCAGATCAAGCCTGCTCGTTGAAACCCTAAACCCCATATACCCTAGACTCCTAGACCCTTGACCCTGCACCCTAAACCTTACTGCACCTGGCAAAAGGCTACGAGCTCTCTTGGCCTGATGCGCACCATCCGTCGCGGCCTCGGCGCCATCAGCCTCAGCACCGTACACCCAGCTGTTCTCGTCTTCGCCGATGTTGTTGCCATCGTCAGAACGTCACCATCACCATCACCATCACCCTC